AACGGTTTAAACCAGGCAAAGCCAGTTTAAACCAGTTCAAACAGCAATAACAAACAGTTTTGATCAGCTTTGCCAGGAAAATACCAAAATTCCTTCACAGAAAAGGCTTTTTTAACTGAAGGTGAAGTTGGGGTTTAAAAAATGTCTGTAGAAATTCAACTGCAGAAACAAAAGGTCAGCTTTGGCAAAGTCTCAATTTAAATACAGATAAATTCCATCACAGTACATTTAGTAAGTTGAAACCAAATGGGAGGTGGGAGAAGCAGTTTAATGAGATGCAGGTGAAGGACTCCTTGTGGGGTGGTCTGCCCTACATTGCAAAGCATTTCTCCTTCGCTTTATTCTCAGAAGTGACTTCCAAAATGTCAAAACATCACAAAACGACCTGCTTAGATTCACCATGGCTACAGAACTCTACTACTTTATCAGGAGCTAGGGTGATAGGGTGACAGCTCATAGATTCAGATGGAGATAGGTGTATGCCCTAGTTCTAAACAATGATCCCAAACTCTAATATTAATAGGACTATCTTGGCCCATATACAGACAGTTAGAAATAAGTTAATTACCTGTAACCAGAGTTCCTTAAAACTGACACTTTCACACTACTGGGGTTGCACCAACAATTCAGGTTTAATGAACTGTTGCAGCACAGCTGTAAGTGAGAGCATTCTATTTTTGAACAGTCTGAGGGTGAGACCATATGAGAAGCCATGGCTCAGTTTCTTCCACCTCCTCTTCAGGTTTGCAATTTTAATACTGGATTCTACAGAAGAGAAGGTGGGCAAGGAGACTGACTCTGCAAAATCCATCTTGAAGAATCCCAATTACAGGGAAGTAATACCAATTTATCAACTGCTACATTTTTCAACACTTAGGCCAGTTGTACTGCAACAGGGAGCTCTAATAAGCAGCAACTAAAATACAACTCTGCCAAAAATTATGCCCTGGATCTGAATTAAGACAGTAATATTTAATACATATGGCTGCTTGCAAAATGTGAAGGGGGGGAGGGGGCCCAGGAGAAATGTGCTTTAAACTCTGCACGCCCCTGTGCCAGGCCCCAGCACGTGCCCAGAAGAGGCAGCACATTAGTTCGACCCAACTCTGCAACACCACTATAGATTGGGCACTTCAGTAAGGCTTTTTTGGTGCTTATCTAATAGCTGATTGAATAAGATATTAGATAAAAGCACCAAAAAGCCCTGCTGAAGCGTCCCATCTATACAGAAACTGAAGAACCAAGTCCAACTAATGTACTGCTTCTTCCAGTAAAGCACACCGAGTTTGTTTTTTCCCCCCACATCTGCAGGCAGCCTATATTGTTTTAAATTGCAGCTTTACTGATTTCAACAAGAGGCAATAATGCATGCAGAAGAGTGAACCTTAACCTAGTGATATTCAACCTGCATTCTGCAAAACCTTGGGGTTCCAAAAAAGGCCATCAGGGGTTCCGCAAAAAGACTGGGAATAACAGTGGAGTGGGCCAGAAGGCGAAGAGCTACCATTGCCAGGCTGGGTCACCTGGCTCCTTATCTGTTCACAGGATAGGGGTAAGGGGTTCTGTGGCAGAAGTGATATGAAAGGGTTCCACAACTTAAGACAGTGGTTTGCAAACTCTCTCAACCTCACACAGGAAGGGGACAGACAGCAGCCAGCTAGTAGCTCTCTTTAGTACATAGTTTGATATTTGGACAAACAATTAAAGCAAATACTGTGACCATCAAAGTAATTTTTTGTAACCTTTTTAAAGACAGTAAGCTTCGTAGAGATCCTGGCCCTTTTAAAATAAAATGCTAGAGTGCTTTCAGCATCTAATGTGTGGTGTTTCAATTTGCCCCAGTGTATGTGAGGCCTGGAAAATAAGTCAGATAAAGTAAATGAACAAACAACTGGTGGAGATTCAGGTCAGTAGCCACCTTGGGCAGAAATTTAAGTTATGGAGAAGAGATTTCTTCAGCTTAAGTGCACTACCACTACAGATTAACAGGGCAATTGGCTAGCCATTTAAGATTTTTATACAGTAATGCAAGAAACATGAGAAATAAGCAAGAATTACCAGAAGTCCTAGTACAAATCACAGAAGTACAACACAATTGGCATAGTTGAGATTTGGTGGGATAGTCATGTCTGGAATACTGTCATGAACAGGATCAATTTGTTTAAGACGACAGGCAAGAGAGATATATACTTGTTCCAGGGTGCAATAAGTGCAGGTAGACCCGTTAAAGGTTCTGGGTCAAGGTAAATGTGTGTATGGGATAAACTACCAAACCAGGAGGTGAATGAAGCTTTTTTCAAGTCACTAATCAAAATACTTTAAAAAAAACAAAAACAAAAAAACAAAAAAACAAAAAAAAATTAAAAATCACAGGACCTGGGGCTGATAGGAGACTAAGTACCATGATATCTGTTGGAAAGGAAATGCAACAGTGCATAGGCAATCTAGCAAGTTTCTGGAGTATGTTAGGAATAAATTTTTGGTACAGACAGCAAAGAAGCCAACATAAAAACTACCCTTTACTGGATCAGGCCATAGGTAATCAAGTTCAATATCTGGTCTCACACAGGATGAGAAGCAAGGATGCTGAGGGGGAGGGTAAATGGCATATCCAGAATTTTCTATACCCTGCTCCTCTTTCACTGCAGCTTCCAGTATTCAGAGATTTAGAGAGTTCTGATTTAGAGGTCTCACCCTTATACACCATGTCCAATGCCTACTGATGGTCCTTTCCTCCATGAATTTTGTTAAATCCCCTTTTGAACTCAGTTAAAAACTATTAGCCTTCACAATATCTTGTGGCAATGAGTTCCAAAAGTTAATTATATGCAACATGAAAAAACTTTCTTGTAGTTAGTTTTAAACCTGCTACCTAATCATTTTCATTATGTCCTCCAATATGAGATAGGAACTAATACATTCCCATTTTCTTTTTTGAACCATTTATTATTTTGTAAATATCTATAATGTGTCCCCTCAAGAGCGTCTTTTCTATGCTGAAAAGTCCTTACTTATTTAGTCTCTCCTCATATGGAAGTCCTTCCATACCATGTTCTTCCTTAATGCAAGAGTATTCCAGAGAGAATTTAATCAAGTAGCTGTTGAACTTTTGGTGGAAGTCAGTAAGGGAGTCCAGGTGTTCACAGTCCAGATAATAAAAATATCTGTGTAATACAGGTATAGTACAGGCCTAGTAGTTCAGCTTTAAGAATTCCTTTTGTAGGTGGTTCATGAAAAAGTTGGCATACTGGGAGCCATCTTTGTGCTCATAATTTGGAGAATGGTGTTGGTTGTTAAAATATGTTCTGGTTGCAAACATACTGGGCTGTATTACTGGAATGACATTTGCAAGTCAAGTCATCCTCCTGGTCATTTTGGCATTGGTAAAGCCCCATTTGGAATGCTGTGTCCAGTTTGGGGCACATTTCAATGCTCAGATAAACTGAAAAATCCACTGGAGAGCAGCAAGAATTACAGGTCTAAGAAATATGACTTGCAAGGAAGAGTTGAAAGACCTGGGATTATTTAGTCTGGAAAAGACTAGACTGAAGGAGGGATTTGATAGCTGCAGTTAAAGAAGATGGTGACAGACCAATCTCAGTGGCTGCAGGAAACAGGACAAAAAGTAACTGCCCTAAATTGCAACATGGAAAATTCAGATTGGAAATTCAGAAGAGCTCTCTCACTATGATGATGGTTAAGCATTGGAACAGATTATCTACCTTCCTGGGAGGAAGAAGCAAAACACACTTTGTCACCTATGCAAACAGTATAGCTGGAACAACTATAAGCTAGTGAAAGCAGGGCTTTGTTATTTATCACAGGATACATGGTAAAATAAAGCTTGTCACTTTCTTCCAACCCGACTAGATATAGCTATATTCAACCCAATTGTTCCAGCTGGTTCCACAAGTCCTTCCAGGTTTTCAGAAGGGATGAAAGGTTGTTTCTGTTAAAGGGCTGATGTATAGGTAATACAAACCATTCTGCCAGCACTGACAACAGTCAAAAAAAAGGAATCAGCAAGAATATGGAGAGCAATATATTTACATTCAACACGGCTATTATAAAAGATGACAAGCAGTTTGCGTTCTACCTAGTACTGCTGCCCTTAAAATTAAAAGACACCACTAATAAATTATGTTTAAAAAAAAAAACTGAAAAATTTTCCCAGTGTCACACCATATCAGACATAGGAACGAGACCTTACCTTACACCTAGAGAAAAAGAGCAAAACTCTGGATTCAGTGAAAGCAATGACAGCTGCGCCACTGCATTCTACATTAGCAGGATTTACCATCAAGTGTACACTCAGAATTATCTGCCAAGTTATTTGATCTCTGAAGGCCAGGACACTAGTTTTGAATCCAACTGTGTCACATTGCAATAAGCTGCAGTTTCACTAATAGGCTCCACCAAAAGGTTCTTTAAGCTATTAACAAGGTTTATTAAATACCCTAAGTGGAAATAAAGTCAGATTTACGGCTGCTGCTAAAATGAGGGAGACAGGGAAGAAGAGAGGAGTTTCTTAATAGCCCTATCAGAATTAAATTAAAATCTTACAGATTTAAGGATTTTTTCCATGATCAAGCTATATTACACATGAAAAGCATTTCAAGAATAAAGGACAAATTAATCTCCTTTGGACTAAATTGTTCTAGGTCAAACAGTATATGCACCCAACAGAGCCATAAGACTCTCAGGCTCCCCTGCCTACCCCCATGCCCCTCCTCCCCCTTTTTTTAAAGCAGTGTTTGTAAGGGGAGGGAACACAGGGTAGATAGCAGGCGAGGGGGATAAGAAAATTGTCCTACAAGTATTCCTACAAAAAGCTAATTTATTAATTTCTTACAGCATATTCTTCTGGAGTAACCCTGAGGACATCGAATACCACTGCATCAAAGCTTTTCTTCAGTTCAGCAGAACCTTTGTCACTTAAGGATTCGGAGCTGCTACTCTTCTGTAGAAATTAAAAGAGAAACAAACAAGTTATTTGTCCTCACTTAGAGTAAGATAAAAAAAATATTTTTAAACATTTGTCTGTGCCACACTGCATGAAGCAAGTTCCCAGGTGAGTAGTAGATTTTGGTCCTGACCAAAATACCATTGAAACAAGAGAATCTCAGTTGCTTTCAATAGACTTTTAAGAAGGCTTTTAATGCATTAACACTTAAAATACTTTGCACCCCAGCACATCAGAAGTTTAAAAAAAGTTTTTAAAAAGTGCGCACCATTAATCTTTACATTTAAAAAATTCTGTACAATGAATACACAGTGCCTGCTCAGGAAGGTTCCAGGCAAGGACTGAGATGTTTATTCTGTTCCCTACATTTTTCATAAGTATTAAAAAACCACAACTCAGATTTAAAATAATTGGGAAACCAAAATAAAAAAAAAAAGTCACTGATATTTAAAATAAATTATTTTAATTATTTGGGCATTCAGTATGATACAGTAAAAGTAACTGCAGTAATCCAGTTTAGATCATTTTAAATTCTCTTAAGTTTACAAAAAGCAGAATTCCTAAATAGACTTCTCAAGACTGCATACCTGATAGATCAAGAATTTGACCAGAACATTAGCATCTGATCTAAATAGAACTCTCTCTCAAGACTATTAATATTTTTACACAGGAGCCCAGAAAACAATAGAATTACATTGTATACACATTAAACTCTTTGGGGTCCAAGAGTGAAGATGGATTCTCTCCTCAAACATTAATATAGTAAATAATTTCTCTTTTATAATTAAAGTTTAAGATGCATTGCCTATACACACATTATATTGGGTCCCAAACTTACCATTTAGCCCTGTTATTCTTCATGCTGTATGCTAACAGCATACAAACTACTATAAATGTTCTTGCTTTCAGTTTCTTCACAACTGCAGAGGCCCAAGATTCATGGAACTACCAGGAAGATGGGATAGAGAAGGGATGGGCATTTTTTTTTGTGCAGAGTGCCAAAAACACCCCATCCTTGACTTGTAAGATGTTGGCATGTCAGGGGTGGATGGCAGGGGAGCCGTGAGAGGCTTGAACCTTGCTGTGGCAGTGCAGCCCCAGACCCTTCCCCACCGTCTATCTGGAGGCGTGCATGCACCCACCACCAGAAAACTAGCTGGGCTAGAGCTCCACAGACCTTGGTGCAGAGGCCTTCAGCCTCCCAGCCACCTGCCACAGCCAACCCAGGCTCTGAGCAGGACCCTGATATTTACCACAACACCCTGGCTACTCCCAGGAGGTGGCAGAGAGGTGGCAAGCTACTGCACTGGGGTCCGCAGAGCCCCCGCCCAGCTCACTGCCGGCAGCAGGTGCAAGTGCACCTCTGGGCAGAGGACAGGGGACCTGCAAGGGACCCAAATCCTTGTTGTGGCAGTGCAGCCCCAGACCCTTTCCTGCTGTCCGCCCCGAGGTGCACATGTCAAGCAAAATGCCTTTGCATGCCACGCGCTGGCATGAGTGCCGGGGGGTTGCCAACCCCTAGGATACAGGGTACAATACGGAGTATGCAAGTGGTCAACATATGATCTCAAAAAAGCCTCTACTTATTATGATAATGAATATCCTTCTCCTTCAAATAGTTGCCCACATGCACATTCCACTACAGGCGACTCAAGCAATGCCCAGTTAACACAAGACAGGATCTCAACATCCCAGGGAAACAGTGACTTCAAGATCACTTTCCCAACTGCAACATCCTATTTGAAAGCTTCAACAATGGCATGCTGTTTGATAAAACTTTGGATGGAGCTCCAGACAGAAGCCTTGCTAATACTGTATTTTCTCACACACTATACCCTGCCAAATAAGACATGCACATTTGGGGGGGGGGGGGGGGGGGGGAA